AATAGTTTGCACTTTTAGTATAGTTCTTTACCTTTACATTCTAGTTTGATTGGTAGTTTTCTTTTGTTAAGTGTAAGAATCCATTTCGTGTTAAAAATAATATATTTTTAATTGAGTCCTTAAATTATTCATTACTATTCGATTCAATTATCATCAATATATCTTGGTAAATAATAGATTTCTCAAAAGGCAATTGATTTGATAGTGTTACATTGAAAATGTGGCCACCGGAATATGTGTTTGATAGTGTATGTCTTATATTTAAGAAAAAACCGACAAATAACCGAAAAACCGACAGAAACCGACATAAACCGAATCGAGAAAAAACCAACTTAATTGGTTTGGTTTGGTTCTAATATTTGAAAAACCGACATACTTGGTTTGGTTTCTTTTAAGGGAAAAACCGATCCAAACCGAACCATGAACACCCCTAAGGATGACCCCTTCTCAGAATAGAGGTTACTCCCAAAAATTGCTTGAATAATAAATTGTTCTGCTTGACCTCGCTAAGATCTATATCAACATTTGTGACAATTCAAGTCTAAATCTTTTCTGGAACAACCTATACATACTCATATTGATATCCTTAAATGTAAAGCATGGCAAAAGCATGAATAAACATTCAAAAGTAATTCTAAATATTCTTGCTTCTACATGACTTTTCAATATTTAAATGACATATAAGAATAAAACAAAAATCTAAAAATTTATGCACATATATCATTATAAATCATCTAAACTTTAGCTAGAATAATTCTAAGTTAATAGGTACTCAGTAGCTTCAATTAAGTACTTATTAACTCTTTTAAGCAATTCATCAAACACCCTGTATGCATGCTTTTGTGAGTTAAACCACTTTAGTAAAGGGTTATATCAACTCACCTCAAAACTCCTTGAACCAATACGTGGGCCCCAATAAAATTTATACCCATCAAACAATCGATTCTACAACAACCAGTGCATTTTAATTAGTTTCAAAGTTTTGCCCCTAAACATGGAACTTACTGTATCAACAGAGAAAGAAGGGAATTAACAATTCACTTTTTACCTACTACTACTGTAGGATAATTGACAATAGAAAATTTTATATAGCTGAGTTTAAGAACTAGTGATTTGTAAAGAAACCCAGAACTTTTCGTTGCCTGCGTGAGTCTGTTTCGTGGTTGCCCCTGTTTGTAGCGTTCTGTTTACTTTTTTTTGTATAAGGATTTTAAAGCCTTTTGCCTTTTGAAAAGAAAATACGTTTTTTTTGTATAAGGCTTTTAAAGCCTTTTGCCTTTTGCCTTTGTTTACAACAACCACTTTATGGGCTTTAGATTAATCCTTACATGCTTTTTTTTGTTCTTTTTTGTTTGTTTGTTTTGACTTAACTAATAATTAATGATACTCACTTTTAATAATTGATAATATTAAAATTATCAATATTCCTCTAATTGTATATTCACTTATTTATAAATAGAGAAGTAACTCAAAAATCAATCACAAGGGCAACGCTAGCTCATAAGGCACGTTTCCCTTCTTTCTATAATCTCATAAGGTCTGATAAATCTAGGACTATGTTTCCTTTCTTACCAAACCTCATAACTCCTTTCATTGGTGAAACTTTCAAAAACACCTTGTCACCAACCATGAACTCAAATTCACGATGCCTCTTGTTAGAATAGGTCATTTGACGACTCTGAGCCGCTTTCAGTATTTCTCTGATTAGCCGAACTTTCACTAAGGCCTCAGAAACAAACTCTGGACCAATTGATGGCAGGCTATAATCTCATGTTTTAGTCGCTTATTGCACTCTAATTTACTGCACTTTAATTGAGTTTGAGCGTTATTATCAGTGTTTTGCACTAATTATGTGCTTTATGCCTTGTAGGAGTGTTTTCAAGCTATGTAGATGTTATGGAATGAATTTGAATGATTTAGAGCTTTAAAGTCTGAGCAAAATCCCAATGGAATAAGTCAGGATTGCGTTCGGGGGTCGAAACCCATGTCTGGATATAAAAAACGCAAGAAAAATCCATACTCAATGAAATGGCCACTACCGTGGCGCGTGGGGCGCCGCGCCTGTGAAAATTCCTGCAGTCTATCAGAAATCAACTCTCTGAACTTCCCCACTAATTCCCCGCATGGCGTGTCGCCCCATGTGGCACGCCTATGCAATTTTTATAGAGTTATTTTCCTATTCACGTGGGAGAAGGTGTTTTCGGCTGGGCCCGACCCTGCTTAGTATAAATACATGTAAAAATATTATTTTATGGACTTTTTGACACATCTTAGACCTATGTAAGCCAAGCAGGAGGTGGAGAAGAAAAATCTCAAGGATTTCATCATTCAATCCTCACTCAAGACAAGGGTTTGGATTGTTTATGTTTTCCTTTAACTTAAATATTGTTATGATGATCGATGGAGTATTTCTCTTTAAGGTTTGATGGATTTGGTGTATTGACACTTGTTTGTGGGTAATTAACTCTAGTTTTTATGTATTGAATCGTTTTGGATGTTTTAACTGTTTCATCTATATTCACTTATTCATGTAATCGAGAGAGGCATAACGTGTGATATTATTGCATTATATTTTGTTGGTTGAAGTCATTATTTCTTCTTGATAATCGGAAGAAGCTAGTTGAATTGTTGATTAAACTTAGTTAGGAGGATAATCGAGAGAGGTTCTCCTAAAGACCAATCTACTACGTATTCTTGCATATCTTCACGTACTTAAAATTGGTTCATCATGTGAGGTTGAGACGTAGTCGAGAGAGGAGTATCTACTAATCAATGTAACTAATAACCAAGTGAATGTAAGAGACTCACTTGAACATTAAAAGTGAATTATCTAGAGTTAAGTCCCAATCATTTGTCTTGTACCTATCCTATCAACCCTATCTTCTCCCAAATGATATATTCTTTTCTCACTACTTGCGTCGATTGTCATTAGCTAATAGTTTAGACTCTTAGTTAATTTTAGTTTTCATCAAATAAACCTTAATTGTTGATCATCTTCGATAGCAATCTAGCTACCAAATACGATAATACTATTTAACTCCAATCCCTATGGATACAATATTATAAATTACTATATTTGACTAGCGAGCATATTTTATTGTATGTTTCAAGCTTGTCAAATTTTGGCACCGCTGCCGGGGATTGGCAATCAATAGTGTTTGAAATAGTTTGTAGTGCTAATTCGGGAATTTTTATTTTTATTCTATTTTTCTCTTTTTGCGTTTGGGTGTTCTTTGACTATGCGCATGCTACAGGCTAGATTGGTGCATGACTCAATATTCTAGCAAGGAATTACAACCACACAAACCAGAAATTGAGAAACACCTCCGACAATTGAGAAAGGACAAAAATCTCCCTGAGAATATAGAGAAGGTTGGTCAATCCTCAACCAAAGACAATATGGCCGAAGATGATGATAATGTTGATTTGGCTACGAGAGAGGCGGCCCAACTCAGAGAAAAAGCTACAAGGGATGCTGAAGAAGCAGCACTGAGAGATGCACAAATTGCTTATGAGGAGGAGAGGGCTCGAAGAATGGCTCAGAGTCAGCCCTTGGGTGCAGACCAGTTTGGAAACATAGCTCCCGACCAAGGAGACCACTTGGTGATTATGCTAGACCGGTCTATAACCAAGGTTTATCAAGTGTGAGACCACCTCCAGTTGTAGCCAATAATTTTGAGTTGAAGCAAGCATTGCTTCAAACCCTCCTAAATAGTTGTGTTTTTAGAGGAAAGATGAACAAAGATCCAAACAATCATCTAATGGACTTCGAGGAGATGATGAACACCTTTTAATACAATGGTATGTCAGAAGATGGAGTTCATCTAAGCGCATTCCCCTTTACACTTAAATATAATGCAAAGCACTGGTTTTGAAGCTTACCCCAGGGAACAATTAGAACTTGGGAGGAGATGACTAGAAAATTTCTTGCTAAATATTTCTCTTCAGCTAAAACGGGCAAGTTTAGAAGAGAAATCTATAACTTCTGCCAGAATGAGATTGATACTGTGTTCGAGGCATGAGAGAAGTTTAAGGAGTTAGTGCGAAAGTGTCAACGCAGTAGAATTGAACTCTGGATGCAACTCTAGGACATTTGAGATAGATTGACACCGACCTCACGAAAAACATTGAGCAATGCAACTGGAGGTCCGCTGATGAAAAAGATTCCAGAGGAGATAGTCACTATTCTAGATGAGTTGTCTGAAGATGCAAATTAGTGGCCCTCTGAGATTGCTGAAAAAAGAAGATCAACTAGTGTTCACTAGGTTGATGCTAACACATCCATGTAGGTACTTCTTGATGCAATGGCAAAAGAAATAAGGAAGGTGACCTTAGCTTCGATACATAATGAGCCTCATGCAGTATGTGACATATGTGGAAGAGGATACCCTACTCATGAGTGTCAAGCCTCAACTTAGGAAGTTAATGTTGTGGGTAATTATAACTTCAATGCAATGGGTGAGAAGAACCCCGGTTTTTCATGGAGTTCACCTAGAGGTACAACAAACGCGTGGCAACAAAATAACTCCAGATTTCAAGGAGCTCCTAGTTTTGGCAATCAACCGAGGCCCCCAGTTTCAGCCTCAGCAGCCAATTCTGTCTAGGTTAGAACATCTTACGAAGTCATTCATTGTCAAGAATGAAAAGAGATTAGATGCTCATGGTGCAGATATTAAAGAACTTGGGACAGGGTTGCATAATTTGGAGAGACAAGTGGGACAACTTGCAACTATATTATCTAAGAGAATCCCAAGTACTCTGCCAGCTGATACTGAAAAGAATCCCAAAGAAACGGTAAATGTTGTGACCTTGAGAAGCGGACAAGTGTTGAAAGATCCCACCCCAATTCACAAAGAATCAGCGAATAAAAAGAAAGTGGGAAGGAGCTGAAAATTGAAGATGATAAAAACACTGAGAAAAAGAAAGGAAATAAGGGAGTTGAGAAAAAGAAGAAGGAGGAAACTTCAAGAAGGGAAGAATCTGATGATGTGAGCAAGCACATGCCTGCTATACCTTTTCCCGAAAAGCTCTATAGAGAAAAGTTGTACAAGAAGTTTGGAAGATTTCTAGATATGCTGAGACAGGTTAATGTAAACTTGCCATTCACTGAAGTTCTCTCACAAATGCCAACTTATGCCAAGTTCTTGAAGGAGATCCTCACAAAGAAGAGAAAGATAGAAGAGACATCGGTAGTGAAGCTCACAGAGCATTGCAGTGCAATATTGAAAAATAAACCCCCACAAAAGTGTGAAGATCCAGGGAGTTTTACTATACCCTGCTCTTTAGGCACTCTTAACTTTGATAAATCTTTATATGATTCTGGTGCCTCAATTAATCTAATGCCATTTTCTATTTACAGGAAATTGGAGAAGGAGAATGGAGAGATAAGTTCGGTGCCGATGTCTTTGCAGCTAGCCGATCAAACGACTATAACACCCGAGGGGATAGTAGAAGATGTTCTGGTGCGGGTGGATAAGTTCGTATTTCCTGTAGATTTTATAGTGGTGAATATGGAGGAGAGCAAGGAGGCCCCCCAAATGCTAAGCTATACTGGATATACATGATAGAAAATTCATGCTTAGAGTGGGTGAGGAGACGATAACTTTTGAGATGAATGTAGCAACTCGACTGTAAAAGGAGAAGCATGCTCTAAGTGTTGAGTTGAAGGTGAAAGGCGTGAAAGAGAAGGCCGCTGTTATAGAAAAAGATAAGTGTGGGGTGTACCCCAAGAAGGCTGAGAAGAAGCTGTCCGTGTGGATGTGTGAACTAGTTCGGGCACGTAGAATGGAGCCCGACTTTGATTAAGACCACGACCAGAGATTCAGGAAAGTTTCCTCTACCTTATGCTTTTTAATTGTGTGTCATGGAGACATGCCACAACTTAAAGTGTGGAGTGGGGTATATATTTGCATGTTGTATGTATATGTGTTAGTTTTTTTTGTAGTTAGAAAAAAATTGAAAAACCATTAAAAACTATAAAAATTTTAAAATTTTTTGACTTTTCCCGATGATGGATATCATTCGACGGGTTTCGTGAGGGATTAATGTCGAAAGAAAAGGACAAAAATTATTTTCTTTTGTTAGGTAGTGTAACAATTTCCCCTTGGTTTTTTTTTTGTGCCACGATTCTTTTTCAAGGGTTTTGTTTGAGTCGAGTGTAGTTCATTTTTATTTTTGTTAGTAGTAGGAAAACTTAAGCTATGATTTGAATTGAAGCAATAGTTCTTGAATTTACTATGCCTTGAAAATAGTAAGCGCTTTAGTTGTGACGCTTAGTCTCAGTTCTCGACTCATGTATAAGTGCCTTAAAGTGTATGATCTTAACTTTGCTTAACTTCTTTGACTAGAGTGTCTTGATAATCCAATCCCGAGTGAGTTATGTGCCATGTGTGTGTGAGGTTTTGTTATTTTGTGCATTGCATTTGATGTCTAGAACTTGCCCCGTGTGTTTGCAAAGCAAAATAGTAGTTTTATTTAGTCTTGGAAGTGATATAGGCATTTTTTGTTGAGCTAGTTATATGCTTTTACCCACCTAATTGTTATGTATCTTAGTTAACCCCGTTGAGCCTATAATCCTGTTTCTTTGGCAACCACATTACAAGCCTTGCCTATTTATTTGAATTGACCATCTATTTGAACCTTTTCACATCTCATGAGCACTTGAATTGTATGAACTTTGTAAAAGTTGAAGTGTGGGGTGGTTGGTTTGGCTTTTGAGTGGAACTAATGAAATAAGGACAAAGGTGGATTGTTTTGAAAAAGTAAGAGCCACTTGAATTGAATAAGAAAAGAAGGAAAAAATAATTCTATGCTTGTGAAAAATATTCCTTGATAGTGGTAACTCTTAATGTAATTGTGCTTAAAGAAGTAAGGGGTTAATGCATATTGATGTTAAGGTGGAGTATGGTTTGACATAAATGTGGGGTTTTGAATGTTAAAGTGCTTAGGGAGGTGTATTCACTCTTATATCTAAATGTATTCTACCTATCCCGTAGCCTACATTACAACCAGTTTAAATTCCTACTTGATCCTTGACTAAATGAGCTCAAATTAGTAGAGTAGTACACTACGGGTAATCCTATGGTTCATCTTTTGTGACATATGAATGTTATTTCTGAGAGCGAGTGAATTCTTTCTATCTTGAGTTCCTAATTGTTCTCAACTTTTGTTGTGTGTGGAACCACTCTCTATAGTTGTGTGAGGGCACTTGATTCATGAAAGAAAGGCAATGTTGTTGACCTCTATACTAGAGTAAGTGAGTGAGTTGTAAATAATACATGGTACTTTTGAGTCAATTCTTGAGGTGAAGATATTACACTATTATGCTTAGTCTATTTTAAATATTCGTGGTGTGAGAGTTAGGAGAGTTGCTAAGTAAGGTCGTGTCTTTATAAAGTGTAGTTTGATTTCTCATGGACGAGCAATGGTTTAAGTGTGGGGGTGTTGATGGTAGGCTATAATTTCATGTTTTAGTCGCTTATTGCACCCTAATTTATTGCACTTTAATTGAGTTTGAGCGTTATTTGTTAGTGTTTTGCACTAATTGTGTGTTTTATGCCCTGTAGGAGTGTTTCCGAGCTATGTAGATGTTATGGAATGAATTTGAATGATTTGGAGCTTTGAAGTCTGAGTAAAAGCCCAAGGGAATAGGCGGGATCACGTTCGGGCGTCGAAAACCACTTCTGGATATAAAAAACGCAAGAAAAATCCATACTCAGAGAAAGGGCCACTACCGCGGTACATGGGGCACCGCGCCTGTGCAAATTTCTACAATCTGTCAGAAATCAACTCTTTGAACTTCTCCACTAATGCCCGGCAAGGCACATCGCCCCATGCGCCTGTGCAATTTTTACAGAGTTATTTTCCTATTTCACGAGGAAAAAGGTGTTTTCGTCTGGGACCGACCCTACTTAGTATAAATACATGTAAAAACATTATTTTATGGACTTTTTGACACATCTTAGATCTATGTAAGCCAAGGAGGAGGTGGAGAAGCAAAAGCTCAAGGATTCATCATTCAATCCTCACTCAAGACAAGGGTTTTGATCATTTTATGTTTCCTTTAACTTAAACATTGTTATGATGTATTACTCCATATCCATGGAGTATTTCTCTTTAGGGTTTGATATTTGGTGAATTGACACTTGTTTGTGGATAGTTAACTCTAGTTTTTATGTATTGAATCATTTTGGATGTTTTAACTGTTGCATCTATATTCACTTATTCATGTAATCGACAGAGGCATAACGTGTGATATTGTTGCATTATATTTTGTTGGTTGAAGTCATTAATTCTTCTTTGTAATTGGAAGAAGCTAGTTGAATTGTTGATTAAACTTAGTTAGGAGGATAATTGAGAGAGGTTCTCCTAAAGACCAATCCACAATGAATTCTTGCATATCTTCACGTACTTAAAATTGGTTCATCTTGCGAGGTTGAGACTTAATCGAGAGAGGAGTTTCTACTAATCAATTTAACTAATAACCAAGTGAATTCGAGAGACTCACTTGAACATTAGAAGTGAATTATCTAGAGTTAAGTCCCAAACATTTGTCTTGCCCTTGCGTCGATTGTCATTAGCCAATAGTTTAGACTCTTAGTTAATTTTAGTTTTCATCAAATAAACTTTCATTGTTGATCATGTTGGATAGCAATCTAGCTACAAACTACGATAATACTGTTTAAATCCAATCCATGTGGATACGATATTATAAATTACTATACTCGACTAGCGAGCATATTTTAGTGTGTGTTTCAAGATCGTCACCGATCAATGGCACCTCTGCTGGTTCAAACCAACCCACTAGAGACCTACATCTTTGCCCATACAACGCTTCATAAGGAGGCATACTAATGCTGGCCTGATAGTTGTTATTGTGAGCAAATTCTATAAGTGGCAAGTGATCATCCCAATTACCTCCAAAATCATGACACATGCTCGCCACTTATCTTTGAGAGTCTGAATGGTCCTTTCTTCCTGGCCATCGGTTTGTGGATGGAAAGCGGTGCTCAAATTGACCTTGGTACCTAATCTTTTTTGAAATGCCTTCCAAAAATGCACCGTGAACTGAGGGCCTCTATCATATATGATTGAAACTGGAGTACCATGCAATCGGAATATTTCTTTGATGTACAACTGCGCATATCGCTCTGCGGAATCTGTCGTCTTTACTGGTAGGAAATGCGTGGACTTTGTCAGTCGATCTACAATAACCTAAATTGAATCTTGCTTATGGTATGTTCGAGGCAGACCTACTACGAAATCCATATGAATCATCTCCCATTTCCACTGTGGCATCTCTATATCTTGAGCTAGGCCACCAGGCCTCTGATGCTCGACTTTGACTTGCTGGCAATTCAAACATTGGCCGCATGGTCTGCTACTTCCTTCTTCATGCCTTCCCACCGAAACAACTCTTACAAGTCAAAATATATTTTGGTATCACCTGAGTGGATAAAGTACATCGAACTGTGAGATTTTTCCATTATGGCCTTCCTAAGCCCATCTATATCAGGCACACATAACCGATCTTTCAACTTTAAAACTCCATCACTTCCTAGAGTGAAAGTAGTGGTTTTTTTTCTGACTCCTTTTAACTTCACTAAGTACGGATCTTCGTCTTGCTTAGCCTTAACATGCACAACAAGAGAGGATTGCGCTAAGGTATAAGCAGTTATACCTCCTTCTTCGGTCTCATCCAATCTAATTCCATCGTTTGCCAGTTTTTGAATTTATCGACCCAAAATTCTCCTTTGTACTGCAAGATGGGCCAGGACACCGTTGACTTCCTACTAAGTGCACCTGCTACCATATTAGCTTTTCCTGGGTGATAAAGGATATTGATGTCATAATCCTTCAATAGCTCGAGCCGCCTTCTCTGTCTCAAATTTAATTCTTTCTGCTTGAAAATGTACTGGAAACTTTTGTGATCTGTAAACACTTTAGAACGCTCGCCCTAGTGTCACCATATCTTTAATGCAAATACCACTGCTGCAAGCTCCAAGTCGTGTGTGGGGTAGTTCTTCTCATGATTCTTTAACTGCCTGGAAGCATAAGCAATAACTTTTCCATCTTTTATAAGAACACAACCAAGAGCATCACAATACACTGTGAACCCACCCGAACCTACCAGCAAGGTTAACACAGGTGCAGTGGTTAACCTCTTCTTTAACTCTTGAAAACTCTGCTCACAAGCGTCTAACCACTGGAACTTAACTGCTTTAAGGAGTCAGCTTAGTTAATGGAGATGCAAGTGAGGAAAATCCCTCTACAAAACATCGGCCTTGGCTAGTTATTGACTCCGCCTAAGAAAGCCACTAGATACAACCAGAACTCACTTTTTGAAAACTTAGCATAAAGCACATTCTCTTCAAGGTCTGCAAGGTTATCCTGAGGCGTTTTGCATTTTCATCCTTGCTCTTAGAGTATACCAAAATATCGTCTATAAACACGAATAATAAAGGTATCAAGGAATGGCTTGAAAAATCTATTCATGAGGTCCATGAATGCAGCTGGAGCATTTGTCACCGAAGGACATTACTAGAAATTCATAGTGCCATGGCAA